TGAAAGACGCTGAGGGGTGGGGTGGTGGTGTTAGTGAACAAGTTGTGGGGCGGGGCGGGCTGGGTGAGGAAGTATTTCAGGGGATCCTCCCTCCTGGGCGCCCCTCACTCCTGGAGTCCCTGGGCTGAGCGGGCGCCTCAGCGTCTCTCTCTTTGCCAAGAGCACCCTGGAGACTGGCAGGCAGAAGGCCCGGGTTTTGGAGGCGGGGCAGCAGGTGGGCAGTGACCAGCGTGTCTTTCTCTCCAGTGGACGATGCCGTGATGGACAACGTGAAGCAGCTCTTCGGCTTTGACAGCAACAAGAAGAACTTGGTGGATCCCTTCATGGAGGTCAGCTTCGCAGGGAAAATGGTAAGGAGCAAAGAAGCGCGAGGATGCTCAGGGAGGGCAGAGCATGGGGCAGAGTGAGGTGCAGGTGCTGCCCTTGGCCACGCCCACCAGAGGCGCGTGCGCACAGGTGAGGCTGATCATGCTGCCCTTGGCCACGCCCACCAGAGGCGCGTGCGCACAGGTGAGGTGAGCGTGGGACTCCAGGGGAGACAGTGGCCTAGGCCTAGCTCTCGGGGCAGCAGCACGCATGTGGATGGGTGCGCTTGGGTCTCTGAGATTGACACATGTTTGTGGATGGACACGGAGCAGGCAGATGGATAGTGGGTGGATACGAGACTATTTGGAGAGAAATGAAACAATTGCATAAAAACTAGATGTGAAGGCGTAAAGACAGGGAAACTAAAAACTATGTAATAAAGACATAATGGTTATTTTTAAAAATTTGTGGTGGGAGTTGGGCAGCCCACCTTCCTGCCCAGAGGCAGGCTTGTGGCTCTAGTCCCTGTTGATTTCTGCTCCATCCCGCCTCACCTAGGATGGAGCCCCCCAGCATCTGTCTGCCCAGCCTACAGGCTCTCCTTGGCCATGCCCAGCCTTCAGATGGCCCTTCTCCACAGGAGGACACCCACTTGTTTAACCGTGACCCTCCCTTCACCCCTAGGCCTGCAGGGCCCTTTCTGCACATTTCTACCTACTGCCTCTTGGGCCCTTTCAAAGAGTCATCTTCTGCCTCATCCTGCCCACGTGTGGGAGCCTCCATCCTCCCCGGGTACCGCCATCGAAGGCAGAACACGTGGGCCTGCGTCAGTTCTTCCCCTGTTTAAGCCCTTGCTACACTAAATATGCCTCCCCTGGCCCTGACTTCAAACATGTCTTGAGGCCCATCCCTTCTCTCTGCCCCACAGCTCACTGTGGATCCTTACCCAAATGCAGTTTGGTTTGGGCTTGGGGTCAGGGTCCCATGCCCTCTTCCGGCCTTCAGGGGCACTGGGGCAAGAAGGCAG